TGAGGCCTGCTCTGTGCCCACAGGGCTGACTGGGCCCAGGTAACTGGATGGAGGGGACTTTTGGAAGCGTAGCACAATGATGCCGCTGGCCATGAAGGTGTAGACCAGCAGTGTGCCGACGGACACAAATTGGACCAATGCCCTGAGATCTAGCAGCAGTGCCGGAAAGCCATGAGGATCCCAAACACCAGGATGCCCACCACGGACACCTGCATCCCGGGGCGCACGTGGGCAAACACCTGGAAGAAGAGCCCATCGGCGGCCGTGGCATAGACCATGCGTGGCAGGAAAATGAGGATTCTGAGCAGGAGAGTGGTCATGGCTGTGGCAGAGCGTGGGAGACTGGTCAGCATGGTGGACAGGCCCACCTGGGGCCGCTAGTGGGGGCCAGGTCATGGTTTGCCCCTTGGGAACACAGACATGAGGTTATCTGGGCCCTCAGCATGAGACTGAGTGTATGTGGGATGCTGGATTGTTCCCCCTCACCACCCAGGAATGGGACATCCCAGTTTAGGTGACAGACCCACTGGAGAATCTGATGATGGCTGAGTCCTCTGCCAGGAAAGGATCTGGAAACACGTGGCCAGAGCTGACATTCTATGTACAATTGTGCGGTGTGAGTAGGTCCCTCCCAACCAGCCTGGGTGGGGAGTCTAATCATTAGCCCCTTCCTGGGCCCAGGATGCAACTGGGAACACAGGATCAGATGGAGATGTTCCCTGGGAGGTTTAGGGCAGGGGACCACCACCCTGTCCCCTCCCACCTTACCTGCGGTAAGGGGGAAGGGCCCCTTACCGGAGATCGCACCAGCTGTCACGATGAAGCCCGCCCAACTATAGCCCCGCTGGTAAAAGGCATCAGAGAGCGCTGAGTCTGGGTCCAGGCTGTGCCAGGGCACCATGAGGGTGGACACAGTGGAAGTGAGAATGTAGGTGCCAGCCGCCAGGCCAAGAGAGATGACAATGGCCATAGGCATGGCTCGCTGTGGGTTCTGGGCCACCTCGCTGGAGCCAACAATGACATCAAAGCCCACGAAGGTATAGAAGCAGGTGGCGGCACCAGCCATGATGCCAGAGAAGCCAAAGGGCACAAAGCCGCCCTCCTCAGTGCTCCAGTTGTGCGGGCGGGCCAGGACACAACCCAGGATGATGGTGAAGAGGATGACGACCAGGCTGATGGCAGAGAAGGTACGGTTGAGCCAGGAAGAGACACGGGCTCCACAGAGGATGAATGTGGAGGCCAAAAGTATGATGCCAGCAGCCAAGAAGTCTGGGTACTGGGCCAGGAAGGGCACCTGCCAGATGCCCACATGGCCATCAGTGAAGCTGCGGATTTGGTGGCTGAAGATGGCATCCAGGTAGCTGCTCCAGGTGCGAGCCATGGCGGCGCTACCAATGAGGCACCGGAGGAGCACATTCCAGCCAATGAGGAAGGCCCACAGCTCACCCATGGACACGTAGGTGAACAGGTAAGCAGAGCCCCTGCCAGGCGGACGTGCCCCAAACTCCACATAGCAAAAGGATGCCAGCAAGGAGGCCACAGCAGCCATGCTGAAGGACACAATGACTGCAGGGCCAGCCATCTCCTTGGCCACGGTGCACATGAACACATAGAGGCCAAAGCCCATCACGCCACTCACACCCAGCAGGGTCAGGTGCAGCGTGGTCAGGTGGCGCTGCAGCGACATCTCCCTGGTGGACTCCTCCAGTGTCTTCAGCCGGTTCAGCTTCTGGCAGAAGCGCGCCAGGTTGGCGGTGCTGGGCAGCCCCCGGGCCATGGTGGGCAGCTGAGTGGAGCACCAAAACAGCTACCGGCACCTACAAGGGCGAGAGGGAGTGACAGGTGCCCAGCTGGGTCCTGACCAGCCTTCAGTCCTTTCTTTGACCCTGCCCTGGGGACCCAAGCCAGAAACCACTGGCCAGCTGAGGGGCTGGGTGAGGCAGGGGTCAGAGCCCATGAGCAGGGTAGGCAGGAGGTCACAGGAAGCATGGAGATTCCTTTGGCCTGCCTCCCAGTCAAGCGAGGGAGCCTGGTGGAGCAGGACCTGAGTGTGTTTGAGAGAGGCCCTGGAATGGGGAAGGGACAGCCCCAGTGATCCCAGCTAGGAACCTCTCCAGTGATCTGGGATCCCAGAACAGGGTGGAAACCCAAGGCCTCCTGGGAGCTGGGCCGGGCCTCCAGGAGCCGGAAGAGGAGTGTTCTCGCAGGGGTGGCCACCTGGCCTCAGACAGCAGCGTTCACGACCCTCCTTCTTGCCCCACAGACTAGTGTATCATGGCACTCTGCCAGGAGTGGGAGGTGCCCTGGGCCCTGCACCTGAAGTCAAGGCCCCACAGCACTACAGGCCACCACCACACCACTGACACATCTACTTCTGCTGTGCCCCTGTCCCCAGTACCTGAGCCCTCAACTCCTCTCTGGCCTCAGTCTGTCCCCACAGGTGTTGCTGCCACTCACCTTCTGTCGCCATTGCTCCTACTGCTCTGTGCCCACCACCACCCCTGGGGACATATCCAGAACTGAGCACCACCTCCAGGTCCCACAGGCTCTCAGCACACCCTACCCACACCTCACAGAGTGTCAAGGCCAGAGCTCCCCAGGTTCAAGGGAGGCCCTATTACTGTGTTTGGTTCAAGGATGAGGAAGCCCAGGCCATCAGGAAAGCGAGTAGCCCAGATCGCTGGGGTGGCTTTACTAGGCTGGTGGAAGTTAAGGTCCCTGTCTGGGGGTAGGGTATGGAGCCCACCTACTTTCCACTGCTGCAGACACTCTCCTTGACCCCTCATCCCAACACATGTACTCCACCAGCTGGGCACCATCCAGACCCCTCAATACTGGGAGGTGTGGGGGCTGCGGGAGTCAGGCGAGGCTCTGATAAGAGGAGGGTATGAATCTGGCTGAGAAGCCCTGGGCAGTCCCTGACATCACAGCACAATGGGATAGCAGTAAGCCACCCTCATCCACTGACAAGGGAGTGCCCAGCTTTGGGGAGTGTTCTGTGAGTTGGCAGAACTCATGCTGGCTGTTCTGAGCTTCTAGATACACACAATGTCCTGAAAGGAGGCAAGCAGACTCCTGGGGATGACTACAGCCCTCCAGCTGGGAGCACCCTAGGGCCCCTCAGACACCAATGGCAGC